AGCTGCTGGAGAACTATTTGTTTTCTGTATGCTTGAGTTTTTTTGAAGTATTTTTTTCTGTAATTCCCACAGCAAAGGACTCTGGAGCTGTGGTGAAGTTGCACAGAAGGTCACTATATTCAAACAACAGCTGTTTTCTTTCATAATAAAGGAAAAAAGACTCTGCACTGAAAAGTGACCATAAATAGGAACAGCATACTCTTTACACAGGCAAAACACAAGAGATTTCAGTGGGAATTCTGCCATGTTTAATGCAGGATCAACTCTAATACTGCTCTTTCACAGGCAGGATCAAGGAGGAAATAAGGAAATTAGATAAGCACAGGCAAATCCCACAGGATGTCCATGCGATTGTTCCATGCCCAAAAGAGAGAAAGCAATCCTACACAAAGTAATTTCAGCTGTTCATGGGATGGCTCCAGTAAGAAAAAAAGCCAAGAAAACATTCTTACACATGAAGATGAGTGTGAGAACTGTGTTTTGTGGAGTTGGGAGAGGAGACATGAGAAAAAACTTTTTGGAAAACTACTGTATTGTAAAAGGCTGTATTGCTCGGCGGGGCTGGGGGAGAGGGGATGATGGTATTCAGCAGATGTCTTCCAATATTCACCAGTAGAAGCAGAGGAACTGTGCAAGGTTCTGGGCCTCATGTAAGGTGCCAACAACATGCTTAGACTCAGGAGCCCTCTCTACTCCTTCCAGGGAACTACAAGGCAGGATCCATACCAGAAATCATCTGCTGATCCTACTTTCAGGTTTGGTTGTTTGCCATCATTGGAAGTAAACAACAAGAGCTGGACTCTAATCCCAGCGGGCTCAGTTCATCTTTGCCTACTGTTTAATGCATGTTCCATTAGAGCTCTGTTACTGTGGCCAGACTCCATATAGACATTGTCCACACCTCAAAGAGTATCATCTCACTTGGAAAATACTTTTAAAAATAAACATAATGAAAGAGTTCAGCATTAAATCCCAGGCCCATTAATAAATTAAAATTTCTGAAATTTGTTGTTAAACTCAATTAAAAAACAAAAAAGTTGTGTGGTTTGCTTATTATAATTACCTTATAATTAACCTTCCTGGCAGTGGCATTAGAGAGTAAATAATCCTTTTAATCAGTTAAGATCTTAACTCATAAATTCTAGTTCCATCTTGCCCTCTGTTACATATTGATTACCTCAATTTTGGCAATAATATGTGCACAATTACATTAAAAACAGAAAACAGCTTTTAGAAATACTTCACAAAAAAATTTTGCAACTGCCCCCCAAACACTTTCCAAATCCAATATTGTAACATGAAATACAAACTGTTGACAAACAAGTATGAAAGCAAAATACAGAAAATAAATTATCACATAAAACCACTTGATCTAAATCTACTAGAGTAAAAAATCTGATTCCAATGGCCATTTAAGATATGCTACTGATTAAAAAAGTAGTTATCATGTTGGACTTGGTATTTATATAACGTTTTTAAAACTTTAAATCCCTTTGAGATTTTAGAGGAGTGGCCATCCCTCATAGAAGTTTAATAAGGCATGAAATCTGCAAAAGAGTAGTTTATTTTTTCCAACACCACATTACCTTTTTTTCTGACCCCAAAAGTGCACACATAGACAGGAAAAAATAAAGTTTTTCAAAATGCTCTCAGAAGGCAGTCATTATTCTCCTGCCTGAAAGTTTCTTTCATTAAAACAGAAGGAAAAATAGAAGAGACTTTCAGTGCTGTACATGATTGCAGCAACTGCCCTGTTACTAAGTAAAACAGTACACAGGAATACAGAATTTGGCCTCACTAGATCAGAGCAGAAGTCTAAGTAAGTTTATGTCCTGTCTTTAGAAACTGCCTATGCCTTATGCTTTAAAGACTGATGAAGGAAGAACCTAATTTGTCTGAACAATTTGACAGTGTGATACACAAAAAAGGGAATAGAGACAATACTTTCCAAACCTTGTGGCTGTCAGTCTGGACCGTTCAGCATTAAACACCTCTATTAGTACTTAATATGTCAAGTTGTGAACTTTATTGATGATTAGTTACTAAATGATCTACACAAAACACTTCCATATTTTAAATAAAAATTGAGGTGCATTAAATCAAAGAACTCTTGATATAAATTTAAATTTACACTAGAAATTTGTTTGTTCTTTAAAAAAAAAAAGATCTTGTAATTTTAATTGTTTAGGACAGACTTCTCTTTTTAGGCAGTTTTAAGGCCTGTAGCAGAGAGTTGTCTCTTTTTAGATTATGAAGACCTGTAATTGGCATATAATACATGAAAGTTTAAAACAAAAGCCTCATTTCAACCAGCTTAATGATATGGTTATGGTATATCCCTGTGGTATACCACGTCTACAGGTATATCTGTGGTAGAGGAAAAAGATCATGGGTGCGTAAGTCTTACAGAACAGCTTAATGGAATCTTTTAGCTTATTAAACATAAAATTGCACTTTTTATTTGTCTCCATAAGAGTATGCTTTAAAGTTAAGTTGTTACAAATTCGGAAGGGTTTCAAGATATAAAAAGCAAAGCAAGACCCACACGGCCCTTCTTGACTGATTCTTTTATCATTAAAGCCTAATTTAAAACAGCTCTAAGGGCCTTAATATAAAATATTATTTAATGCATAATATGCATACTCAAATAAAGAGTAAAGACAGAATGCTTTGGAATTATCAAGGCAAGAAACTGGAATACTATTTCATAAAATAAGTGAATACTTACTTGTATAGAGGTTAAAAGGAGTTTGGGGATGTTACAAATATTAATACAGTACAGTGGCTGCAAGTACTACATTCCCATGTGTCTGCTCTAAACTTTTGTGGCCTTTAAATAAATCATTGAGCTGCATGAACATGAGCACAATAGATAGAATACAATATTGTGAAGTTTCTAAAACTAAGTATGCAAGTTTCACATGCTGTTTTAAATGGCAGCAGACTTAGCTGTCCATTAGTTTCAATTTGAAGTTAGCTGTTGTAACTTGCTTAAACTTTCCCAAGTAAGCAGTAAGCTCAAATGGACGGATTTGATAATCAGGTTACGCAGATTTAAATTTTACTTTATTTTTCAAGTTACTTTACTTATTTTGTAGAAAACGTTAATTTTTAGCTCAGGCATATTTTAATTTAAGAACAGTGTTAGCTTAGTAATTTCTCACATTGCCATGGTATTCCACTTGTCATATAAACCTAACCGATCTTAGAAAGGTGTAATTCAATCTGTAAAG